ATCTCATTTTCTTTGTCCTCCTCCTCCTCCTCCTCCTCCTCCTCCCCCTCCTCGTCCTCCTCCTCCTCCTCCTCCTCCTCCTCCTCCTCCTCAGCATCATCATTTCGACATCAATTTTCACCCTCATTATTATCATCACATCCGTCACACCCCTCACACGCTTCGTACCCCCTTCGGGAACTAGACCGAAGGCCCCAGCGACGGCTCTAGCAGTGCAGGAGGCCTCATCCTCCTCTTCTCTTTTGCCTGTTCGCATTTCTTCAGACCCATCACACGTTTCGTGGCCCGATAGGGGTTCCCACCGAGGGCCCCAGTGGCAAGGCTCACATGGGTACCGGCCCAATTCCCGCAGACCCCTTACATGTTTCGTGGTCCCCTGGGGCCACACCGAGGTCCCCAGTGGCAGTGTTCACATGGATACCGTCCAATTTCGGCAGACCCATCAGACGTTTCGCAGCCCCATAGGGGGCTCCCCCGAGGGCCCCAGTGGCAGGGTTCACATTGGCATCCGCTTCATTTCGGCAGACCCTTTACACGTTTCGTTGTTGATAGGGGACCCCACCGAGGGCCCCTCTGGCAGTGCCACATGAGTACCCGCCCCATGTTGGCAGACCCCTTACACGTTTCGTGTCCCCACAGGGAGCTCCACCGAAGGCAGGGTTCGCATGCTTAATTACCCGGGTCCATTTTGACACACCCCTCACACGGTTCGTGGCCTCGAGGCCCCATTAGCAGGGTTCACATGGGCCCCATTTCGGTAGACCCCTCACACGTTTCGTGGCCTCAGCTGGAGCTTCACCGAGGGCCGCAGTGGCAGGGTTCACATGGGTACCCACCCCACCTCGCCAGACCCCTCAGACGTTTCGTGGCCCCCTATGGAGCTCCAGCGAGGGCCCTCGTGGCAGGGTGCACATGGGTACCCGCCCCATAGCGGCAAACCTCTTACGCGTTTCGTGGCCCCATAGGGAGGTTCACCGAGGGCCCCAGTGGCAGGGTTCGCATGCGTACCCGGGTCCATTCTGACACACCCGTCGCACGGTTCGTGGCCTTTTCGGGGGCCCTTCACACGGTTTCGCATTTCGGCAAACCCTTCACACGTTTCGTGGCCCCACAGGGGGCCCCACCGAGGGCCTCAGTGGCAAGGTTCACATGGGTACCTGCCCCATTTTTGCAGACCCCTCGCACGCTTCGTGGCCCCATAGTGGGCTCCACCGAGGCCCCCAGTCCGTAGAATAGGTTGGGTTCTTCGCCAGGGTATTTTGTTGTTGTTTGTTGTTCTGTTTTTGGGCCGGCCCGAACCCAACCTACTTCCTCGGCCTTCCTACTTCATGTTTGCACCTACTTCTTCCCACTGGAGCGTGTGTCCTTCGCCGGCTGATGGAGGCCAGCCCTTTGGGAATCAGGAAAGCGTAAGCTCGATTCCTTTCCTTTCTTCTTAGGCTTTTCCTTGGTTCCTTTGGATTTTTTTGCCCGTGCCAGTTTATTTTATCAGATAATGGTGTTTGTTTGTTTTACTTAATTTACATTTCGCAGACTCTGACCCCTCTCTCCTCACCCCTCCTCGCGCCTCCCCTCCCCTTCCCATCCCCCACCCCCCTCCCCTCCTCTCCTCCCCCCCTCCCTCCCTCCTCCCTCCCTCCCTCCTCCCCTCTTCCTCCTCACCTCCTTCCTCCCCCCCTTCGCCCCAGCCTGCCCCGCCAGCCCGCGGGAGGCCCTCCGCCACGCCTGGTTCGCCTCTGACAGCGACGCCGCGCTGCCGGCGGCGAGCCTGCAGGGGCTGCTGGGCGCTGGCCCGCCGCCCGCCGCCTTCCACCCCCCTGGAGGGAGGTCGCCGTCGGCGCGGTCGTCGGCGCTGCTTCCTCGCGGAGGAGGGGTGGGTGGGAGGACGGGGGGCGGGAGGACGGGGTGTGGGGTTCGAGGATCGAGGTTCTCTTTCCGGAGGTTTTTGGTCGTCCTGGGGCGCCCTCGTGGCCACGGCTGGATCCGCCCCGAATTTTCTGGTCAGAACGCACTCCAGTGGAGGCTCAGGGGATTTTTTAAAACCCTTAACGAGAGATGGGGGCGCTGCCGCGCCGCGGCCGGGCGGCCTACGGCGCGCCTGCGGGATAAAGACGTTAGGGGGAAGGGAAGAAGGTGGGGAGGGTGCGGAGGGTGCGGCCTCGCGAGTCCGCCCGAACCGAGCAGACCGCGGCGGGGCCTCAGATGAGGCCGAGGAGCTGGCTGGGCGCCACCGCGATGAGCGCCCCAGCCCAGCCCCACGATGCGGCATGCGGCCAGCGCAACGCGCCGCCGCCGCCGCCTGGCGTCAGCCCGCGCCCACCCCGCCAAACTGGGGGCCGAGCGCGAGCACGAGGATGGCGAAGTGGACGCACTCAGGTAACGCCCTAGTCCGTGTCGCCGCCCTCGCCGCCGCTGGATTCCTCGCGCAGGCCCTGGGCGCCGTTCTGCTCCTGCAGCGCCGCCTGCGCGCCGAGGCGGCCCTGGCCCTCGCGAGGCGCCGCCGCCGCCCCAGGCCGCGGCCTGTGGCGCACAGCCCGAGCCCAGCCCAGCGCGGGCGGCAGGCCCGCAGGCGCCGCCAGCCAGCTGCGGAGGCAGTACACCTCGTACCTCCGCATGCTGTCGGTGACGTACTGCTGGCTCAGCGTGAGGCCCGAACGATACCTGGCGTAGGCACCGCGCAGCGTCGCTCCGCGGCTCCAGGCGAGGCTGCACCACGCCTCCGCCAGCTGCCGGGCCGTGCTGCCCATCGCCCTGAGGAAACGCCGCCACCTGGGCTGGGCGAGGACCGCCTCCGCGTACGGGACGCAGTGGTCGAGCCAGTCGCTGGCCGCCCCGTCGGCGTCGAGCAGCGGCTCGATCCACCACCGCCCCCAGCGGTCCAGCCTGCGCTCCAGGGCCAGCGGCCGCGGCGGCCGTTGCGGCAGGACCGCCCTGGGCGGCGGCCGCGCCACGCGGATGCCGCGCCGCGGCAACGCCCGCAGGCGCCGCTTTGCGGGCTGCCCCAGCCCCGCCGCAGAGCCGCTCGGCCCGCGCATGGAGCCGCCGCATCAGTGCCTGCTTCCGCACTGCCCATGACTCGGCGTGATCACCAACAGCGCACCCCGTGTCGGTCATCGCCTCCACGACCTGCGCCTTGGGAACACTGCCAGCCCCACCAGCGGCAACGCACGCCAGGCCAGCCTCGCGCGTCGCCACGCGCCGCCGCAGCGCCTCCAGCCGCTCCTGCCAGGACGTCGCTTGCGCCGCACAAACGCTGCGGCGCGCCACGACCTCCGCAAGCAGGCGGCTGGCCTCCGTGCGCCCGCCCCTCGGCAGCTCAGGAGCCCCACGTGTCGCGGTCCCCTGCGCTTCCGCCATCGGGGCCTCCTCCGTGCGCCCGCCTTGCAGCGCTGCGGGAGCCCCGCGTGTCGCGGTCTCCTGCACAATCGCCATCTGGGCCTCCTCCGTGCGCCCGCCACACGGCGCTGCGGGAGACCCGCGTGTCGCGGTCCCCTGCACGTCCGCCAGCGTGGCCTCCACAGAGCCCTGGGCCGCGACCGCCTCGTCGGTGCCTTCCTCGGAGCTGTCGTCGACCGAACTGCGCTCGTCGTGCACCAGCCTGCCCGTAGCCCATGGCCTGCCCGTCTCGGGGTCCAGACCACGCAGCAACCTGTCCCTCCTGGCCACCAGGTTGCTGACGTAGGTGCGCTGGTGGTGCCCCTTGCCAGTGGGCGGCCCGCAGCACGCCGTCTGCAGCCCCCTCGCCGCTCGGGTCTGCATCCACGCGACGCAAGCCTCGCAGAAGATGGTGGGCCCCGCGCGCCGCAGCCGATGCCCGATGTGCAGCGCCACGCCACGGCCGTCACCCTCGTGCAGCCAAGGGTTCGGCCTCTGCGCCAGCTTGCAGGGTCTGCCACCGTCGCACGGCTGCAGCGCCTCGGCCTCCAGGCCTTCAGTGTCGCCCATCCAGTATGGCCCCGCACCGAAATGTGCCACCTCAGCCGCCGCCTTGAGGCGTGCCAGCGGCGTCGGCAAACAGCTCGACCTGACGAACTGCTGCGCCGCCGCACCTGCCTCAGTACGGGATCGGCGCCCGCACTCGGTGCACAACATCCCGCGCTTGCCCTGCACGCGCACCAGGGAGTGCTCCGCCACCGTCAGCTTCGGCACGGGCGGCGGCGGCGCCGCGGGCACGTAGCGCGCCTCGGGGGCCCAGTCCCCGATGGCCAGGCAACGCTGCATGGCCCATCCGATGTAGTCCGCCACCTGCTTGAAGTACTGCACCTCGATGGCGTAGAACTCCGTGTACACCTGGGCAAGGCCCCCTGCTCGGCGAACCAGTCCGCCCACAGGTTGCCCGCGTACAGCGCTGGGTGAAGCCCCGCCGCCAGGTACCCTTCGACGTCCTGGTGCGCGGGGACCCAGAACACCTCGGGGCGACATGGCTGCTGCTGCAGGTTCCTCCACACCGTGGCGTGCACCGCCTTGGCCTCCAGCTCTGGCCCCCAGCTGCTAGCCTCCTGGGCCAGCGCCAGAAGGTCGGTGGCCACGAATCGCGCCTGCTGCCCCAGGAGCTCGGTGACCTGCAGGAGCGCGTGTCGCTCGGAGAGGACGGGGGACCGGGGAGGACGGGGGGCGGGGGAGGACGGGTGGAAGCGGGGGGCGGGGGAGGAGGACGGGGTAGCCGGGGGAAGAATGATGGGAAGGAGGAGGAGGAGGAGGAGGCGGAGGAGGAGGAGGTGGAGGAGAAGGAGGCGGAGGAGGAGGAGGAGGAGGAGGAGGATGAGGAGGCGAAGCGGAAAAGGGGGAGGCGGAGGCGAAGGACGTAGGACGTAGGAGGGAGGGGGCAGGAGGAGGGAGCAGCAGCAACAGCAGGAGGGGTGAGGGAGGGACGAGGCTGGAGCGCGAAGGAGCCGCGCGGGGAGGTCGCCCCGCGCCGCAGGCGCCAGCGGCTCCGCCGAGGAGGCCCCCTCGCCCGCGGGAGGCCCGTGGAAACCGGGCGCCGTGCTGCCGGAACCCAGGACCCCGAGGGGCCCGGGGTTGTCTCGAGGCGCCTGGCCGTCTTTTGTGCGTGGGGCCAAGAGCAGGGCGCCTGCCTTCCGCCCTTCTTGTCTTCTCCTAGTCTCCTCGTCCCTCTCCCTCCTCCTCTCCCTCCTCCTCCCCCTCCTCCTCCTCCGCCTCCTCCCCTCCTCCTCCTCCCCCTCCTCCTCCTCCTCCTCCTCCTTCTCCTCCTCCTCCTCCTCCTCCTCCTGTTTGAAGTAACCCAAGCGTGAGGCAAGCTTGTCGCGTTCTAATGCAGGAGCAACCGCCGACTAAGCGGAGCGAAGAACAAATCAACCTGGCGGGCGCAGCGGACCAGGTGGCGCGACACGATCAGAAGAGTAGAGGGCCTTAGAATACGCGTCCGCCAGGCAGTAAGACAGCAGATGCACCTAATGTTACCTTGGTATTCCTCCCAATACCGCATAATAATCCACCTGCACCCCTACAACAGGCTAGCCGTGTCAAGGCAAGGTAATTGCAAACAACATAGTGTCAGATCAGGCGATGCCAGTAGACAGAGTGGAAGGGATCATTCGACAGGGGTGTTCCTCCCTTCCCGGAACCTGTGCGCCCACCTGTGCATGTCCCACTCTGATATTGTCCTGCTCTCCTTCCTGAGCCAGGTATGGGTGTGTCCTGTACATTTCCCACTCTGAGCTTGTCCTGTGTGTGTAGTGCCGCTCCGATCTTAACACTGGGTCGTGATTTCTCTGGAAGAGGGGATGTTGTGCATGCAGGCGGCGTCCCCTGGCTCCGTCCAGAGACTCGTTGGTGCCAAGCTGAACGCCCTCTACGATTGTAGCTTCTCGTATGAATCCACCAAATTGCGTTCAGCGGATCATGATGTCGCCAAATCGCGGCCATGACCTCCATTGGTCCGGGGCCTGGTTCCGCTAGAAAGGGGATGAGGAGGCTTCTTGCCCGCCTCTGTGTGTGAGTGCGACGCACGGACGTCCGTCCGCTTGCATTCGGCACTCAACGGTAGACACGGGGTCCTCGTTGTGATACCCCGTGTCGGTTCGTCCTGACTGCTTGTATCTGGTGGGAAGCTGCGCCTCTCGTCCGCCAGGTCCTGCCGCTGCTCGTGTGAAATTGGTGGGCGGAGACCTGGAGGGCGTCGCGAGTGGCCCGAGAGAGAGAGAGAGAGAGATAGAGAAGAGAGAGAGCGCGTCGTCAGCGTATACCGACCCAGTGTCCACTGTCGTGGACGTGTCGGGGCTGGTGGGCAGTGAGGGGGATGCGGCCGACGATGACATCGCTGATACCTCCGTCCTCGTAGTGGATCTGCATGAGACGGGTCTCTTTTCCACTCGGATTCCTCAGCGTCCGCGGAGCCCTCAGTCAGGTTGAGACCCAGCATTTCTGCGAGTTCCATTCGTGCGGAGTGTTGGGTAGGATTGATAACTGACGCCGATGCGCTTGAATGATCACTTCGATCGCTTTCCGCCTCCCGCTGTCCGTCAACCGTGGGGTTTCGGATGTGGCTACCGGAGTAGAATACAGCAGGGTGTCAAACTCCCCGTTAGCCAGAGTGAGCTGTTCCGTTATATGGATGCGTCCGACAGCCTGTGCACCTTGGAAAAGGCCGTCGATCGACGCTTCGTCGAGTACGTCCTCCACCTGTTGTCGTAGGAGACACGCGAGTTTGTTTGGTGCGTTGTTGCCAAAGGCTTACCCGTCGTACAGAGACCTTGTGTCGGCTTCGTTTCGATAGGGCAGTTCGGTGAGCCATTGCCTTCTGGCCGCTCCTGGCTCGCGAGTCCCACGGGTCGGTCGTCCAATGCGTCAGAAAGCTCAGGCGGCCAGAGCGTCGCGGGGGTCCAAGTGATCTCGCATTTTTTTTAGAGTTTCCCAGTGAGACGTGCGCAGACGTAGCAAGCTCTGCACGAGGTACTGGGCTCGGTAAGCAGTTGTGCAACGAGCAACCGCAGCTAGCGCAGTTGCCAGGGTTCGCGATGCCTTGCAGTGGCGTAATCTTATGTGTCTCATCGGTGGGGCGGAATCCTCTGGCAAGGCGCAGTGCTCGCCGCGGGTATCTTTGTCCTGCCCGTATCCAAGTGAGCTGCGCCCGCCCTTGATCGCCACTCTGTGATTCAAATGCCTGCCGGTCCAGACCGATCCCAAGGACCGTTGGGAGCGCCGCGAAGAAATCATGAGGCCCGCGCGATGGGAGCGCACCCTGATCGCTCGTCGATGTCGGGGGGGGGGGCGTCTGGATGTGGAGCTGCGTCCGATAGCTTCTGCTGCCCAGGGCGATCTGTTCAGCTTCTTCTTGCGCGTGTCGGTGAGCTTCCGTGGGGTGCTCTTCGCAGTGCGCGCGTAGCATTGGGTGACGCGTGCGCATCGCCCGCGTGGCGCGGGCTCGAAGTGCAGTCGCATCCACGTGCAGCTGTAGTGCCCGTTTAATGTTAGTGTGCTCCTGGATGGAGTCCCAGATGCTTGGCAGGTCCGCGTCATCTGGTATGGGTGGTGTGCTGCCCTCGGTCTGCGGGGCATCGTCGTGTTCCTGCCTCAACGACAGGGGCCATGGGAAGCGGGGGCCATCTGTTCTGTCATTGCAGCGGGGATGACATCGAGCACCCGTCAGCGTGTCCTTCGCGATGGTGCTGGCACGGGGTCCCGCTGCGCTCAGCCAGGCGACCTCTCGCGCTGTGAGGTCGGGGCAGCGCGGTGGTGGCAGGCGAGTCAGACCGTGGACTGCATCTTCTGGCCTGCAGGCGGGTCGCGTGGCCGGGGCGACGGTTTCAACCGTGGTGAACACGGTGCGGGGTGGTGTTCCGCGCTGAAAGTAGCCCTCCTCTGTGCGCGGGTAGCCATCGAAGTCCGACCTGTTGAGGTCCCTGACGAAGCTGAGGAAGACTTCGTAGGAGAGCAGCGCTGGGAGCTTTTCGAAACCTCCAGCCGTGCTGGGATCGAGCTCGCTCCACTTGACAGCTGCCCGTGGGTTCTTGTTCACGACCTACTCGACCATGTGCGCCAGCACATGTCCACTCCGGTAGGCTGTCGGGGCCATTTGGTGAGGGCCGCCCGTCTTTCCAGAGGGTTTCCAGGAACTTCTGCAGCATGCTGGCGTCCATGTCCTCGCGCCCCTCGCTTGAAACCGCCAGCGAAACATCCTCGCCCCATGGCTTAAAACTGCCGCCGACATATCCTCACCCCCCTGGCCTTTAAACTGCCGGCGAAACATCCTCACACCCCTGGCTTGAAATTGCCAGCGAAGTATCCTCACCGCCCCTGGCCTCAAACTGCCAGCTAAATATTTGCACCCCGTGGACTTGCGCTGTCGGCGCAATGTCCTCGCGCCCCTGGCTGGAAACCGCCAGCGAAGTATCCTCGCCGTCCTTGGCCTCGAACTGCCAGCAGAACATCCTCGCCCCGTGGCGTAAAAGTGCCAGCGAGACATCTTCGACCCCCGGAAATACTCTGACAGCGCAATATCCTCACCGCCCGTGCCCTCAAACCGCCGGCTAGCTATCCTCGCCCCCTGCACTTCAAACTGCCGGCGAAATATCCTCGCGCCCCTCGCCCGAAACTCCCAGCGAAATGTCCTCACCTCCTGGCTAATAACTGCCGGTTGAGTATCCTCAACCCCTGGCCTTTAAACTGCCAGTTAGATATTCCGAACCCCCGGAAATTCGCCGGCCCAACGGGCCAGAGGCGTGCTAAGATCTCCGGTAACTGCTCAACAATTAGTTCGCGCGCGCGGGGCGGGCCCTGGGGGTCCCCAGACGAAAAGTACCCCGGCAAGGTCCCGGCAAGGTCCCGGCAAGGTCCTGGCAAGGTCCCGGCAAGGTCCCGGCAAGGTCCCGGCAAGGTCCTGGCAAGGTCCCGGCAAGGTCCCGGCAAGGTCCCGGCACGGTCCCGGCAAGGTCCCGGCAAGGTCCCGGCAAGCCCTCCAGACGGTCCAAGAGTGCCGGGAGACGCCGAAATATCACTCCCAAACGCCTGCGATGGCCTCAAGACGGCCCAACAGGCCTTCAAGACGCCCCAAGAGGTCCCTAAGCGGCGCCCCAAGAGGGCTCCCACAAGCAAAAATCGTCCCATTCCCTAGGAAAACGTGCATTTTTAACATATCCGCCTCTTCGTCTTTCACATCTTTCAAGGCGGTCCAAGAGGCCCCCAAGATCACCCCAAGACGGCCCGAGAGACCCTCTAGACCGCTCAAAGACGGCCCAAGAGCGCTCCAAGAAGGCCCAAGAAACCCTCAAGAACTCTTTTTCGGAGCCCAGGAGGGCTCCAAATCGGTCCAAGAGGGGCCCGAGAAGCCCTCCAGACGGTCCAAGAGAGCCGGGAGACGCCGAAATATCACTCCCAAACGCCTACGATGGCCTCAAGACGGCCCAACAGGCCTTCAAGACGCCCCAAGAGGTCCCTAAGAGGTTTTAACATATCCGCCTCTTCGTCTTTCACACCTTTCAAGGCGGTCCAAGAGCCTCACCCCAAGACGGCCCGAGAGACCCTCTAGACCGCTCAAAGACGGCCCAAGAGCGCTCCAAGAAGGCCCAAGAAACCCTCAAGAACTCTTTTTCGGAGCCCAGGAGGGCTCCAAATCGGTCCAAGAGGGGCCCGAGAAGCCCTCCAGACGGTCCAAGAGAGCCGGGAGACGCCGAAATATCACTCCCAAACGCCTGCGATGGCCTCAAGACGGCCCAACAGGCCTTCAAGACGCCCCAAGAGGTCCCTAAGCGGCGCCCCAAGAGGGCTCCCACAAGCAAAAATCGTCCCATTCCCTTAGGAAAACGTGCATTTTTAACATATCCGCCTCTTCGTCTTTCACACCTTTCAAGGCGGTCCAAGAGGCCCCCAAGATCACCCCAAGACGGCCCGAGAGACCCTCAAGACCGCTCAAAGACGGCCCAACAGCGCTCCAAGAAGGCCCAAGAAACCCTCAAGACGGTCCAAGAGGCCCCAAGACGGCCCCATGATTGAGGTCCACAGGGGCAACCTGAACGGAAATTTTGAGCCTCCCGCCCAAACA